GACTGCTATTCAATCTATAACAGTGAAAAAAGTTTTTTGTTTTTAAATCCAAGCTATTGTGACACCAGATGTAAGTGGTGGCACTGACTGGGGAATGGGCACAGTATGCACTGTGAGCCTGACACAGAAGCTGGCAGCAGTGGCAGACAACTAAGTGCAATTACATTACATAGAAAAAATAAATAAATAAAAAAGCATACCCTTATCCCTAACCTAGCTATGCTTTTCCCTATCTTATGAACAGCAGCTACACTTTCCCTCCTTACTAAGCATGCAGCTTGAGAATGAATCTAAAATGGATGCCTTCCTTGTGTAGGAGTAGGTGGGAGGGTCTGCTAGGGAGGCTGTGCTGCTAATTGGCTGGAATGTGTCTGCTGACTGTGAGGTACAGGGTCAAAGTTACTCAATGATGACGAATAGGGGGCGGGTCGAACCGCGCATATGTTCGCACGCCGTGGCGAACGCGAACATGCTATGTTCGCCAGGAACCGTTCGCCGGCGAACCGTTCGGTACATCACTATTTACAGCATTCGTGTGGTTCCGGTTCAGCTGTTTACGGCATTCATATGCTTCTCCGGTTCGGTGGATTGGTGTTTGCAGTAGCTGCACCTGTGTCTCTGGAAGGGAAGATCTACTAAACGACGGTTTAACCCATTTATGCCTGGAGTGCCGTTACATGTGTATATATATATATATATATATATATATATATATATATATTCATACTTACTGTAATTTTCTTTTCATGGCTATTATTCATGGCAGCATATATATTTATGGGGAAACCCAAGCTTCCCAGGGAGGGACAGAAACCTACATAACTGGCAATCAAATAATCAGAACAATTCGACATACAGTTGCAAGAAAAAGTATGTGAACCCTTTGGAATGATATGGATTTCTGCACAAATTGGTCATAAAATGTGATCTGATCATCATCTAAGTCACAACAATAGACAGTCTGCTTAAACTAATAACACACAAAGAATGAAATGTTGCCATGTTTCTATTGAACACACCATGTAAACATTCACAATGCAGGTGGAAAAAGTATGTGAACCCTTGGATTTAATAACTGGTTGAACCTCCTTTGGCAGCAATAACTTCAACCAAATGTTTCCTGTAGTTGCAGATCAGACGTGCACAACGGTCAGGAGTAATTCTTGACCATTCCTCTTTACAGAACTGTTTCAGTTCAGCAATATTCTTGGGATGTCTGGTGTGAATCGCTTTCTTGAGGTCATGCCACAGCATCTCAATTGGGTTGAGGTCAGGACTCTGACTGGGCCACTTCAGAAGGCGTATTTTCTTCTGTTTAAGCCATTCTGTTGTTGATTTACTTCTATGCTTTGGGTCATTGTCCTGTTGCAACACCCATCTTCTGTTGAACTTCAGCTGGTAGACAGATGGCCTTAAGTTCTCCTGCAAAATGTCTTGATAAACTTGGGAATTAATTTTTCCTTCGATGATAGCAATCCGTCCAGGCCCTGACGCAGCAAATCAGCCCAAAACCATGATGCCCCCACCACCATACTTCACTGTTGGGATGAGGTTTTGATGTTGGTGTGCTGTGCCTTTTTTTCGCCACACATTGTGTTTCTTCCAAACAACTCAACTTTGGTTTCAGCTGTCCACAGAATATTTTGCCAGTACTGCTGTGGAACATCCAGGTGCTCTTGTGCAAACTGTAAACGTGCAGCAATGTTTTGTTTGGACAGCAGTGGCTTCCTCTGTGGTATCCTAAAATCCATTCTTGTTTAGTGTTTTACGTATTGTAGATTCGCTAACAGGGATGTTAGCATTTGCCAGTAACTTTTGTAAGTCTTTAGCTGACACTCGAGGATTCTTCTTCACCTCATTAAGCAGTCTGCACTGTGCTCTTGCAGTCATCTTTACAGGATGGCCACTCCTAGGGAGAATAGCAGCAGTGCTGAACTTTCTCCATTTATAGACAATTTGTCTTACCGTGGACTAATGAACAGCAAGGCTTTTGGAGATACTTTTATAACCCTTTCCAGCTTTATGCAAGTCAACAATTCTTAATTGTAGGTCTTCTGAGAGCTCTTTTGTGCGAGGCATCATTCACATCAGGCAATACTTCTTGTGAAAAGCAAACCTAGAACTGGTGTGTGTTTTTTATAGGGCAGGGCAGCTGTAACCAACACATCCAATCTCATCTCATTGATTGGACTCCAGTTGGCTGACATCTCACTCCAATTAGCTCTTGGAGATGTCATTAGTCTAGGGGTTCACATACTTTTTCCACCTGCACTGTGAATGTTTACATGGTGTGTTCAATAAAAACATGGCAACAGTTAATTCTTTGTGTGTTATTAGTTTAAGCAGACTGTGATTGTCTATTGTTGTGACTTAGATGATGATCAGATCACATTTTATGACCAATTTGTGCAGAAATCCATATCATTCCAAAAAGTTCACATACTTTTTCTTGCAACTGTAGATTAGAAGATTGAACTTAAAGGACTTGACGTCCAAATTGCGCCTTATTGATTGCTTCAATGTCCAGTATGTAATGCTGGACAAACGAGTTCAAAAAGGCCCAAATGCCTACTTTGTTTCAGCAGAGACCATTGCTGCAACAGCACTAGTGGAGAGTGCCCCAAGCTACTTTGGTACAGGTAGAGAATGGCATTAAAAAGCTTTCACTTTTTTTTTTCACTTGCTAAATGCAAGATAACCATATCCTGTTGAAATTCAGTGAATGGGGGTACACAGGATCAGGCCTGGAGTTCACACATTCACCTTGCTGAGGTACCAGCCACCAGCAACAGCACCGTCTGTGTTAACATCATGGAAGCTCCTGCTAGAGCTTCAAATTATGGTTTATTCAGAGCCTGTGAGACCAGTGGTAGGTCACAAATAGACTTCAACAGCCTCAGTGCAGGCTTGAGTTTGATTGCTGCTTACATGAAGCAAAGCACCAGGGGTTCCAATGCTCAATGGATAACCATCCATGTGGAAAGTGCCAATCTGTGCTACTCTAGAGTGTTATAATTCAGATCTTACCAAGGCCTGATTGAGGAGTAATTCCAACCTCTAGTCTTGAGACCAACAGACAAATGCATGCCAAGTTTGTAATCTGTAAAGTATTTATAGGACTGTAAGAGGATCTTAATGACTGTCTCAGGGATGCCTATACTATTAGAGTCACCAGCCTCAACACCAGAGCTTAAGGATCTTGGTGTATCAAGAGACCTTCTAATAGTAGGTCTGGATGTACTGGAAGTTCCCTTGGAGGTTCCAGATTCATCTTGCTCATCATAGGGATTTAGAGTCTCCGTGGCCTTCCACTGTCTCCTTTGAATTTCCTTTGAACGTTGAAGACAGGAAAAATATGTACATCAGACTGAAAATCCAAACTTGAGTCAGAGTATCCTGACCTTGAGCATTCTGGTGTTATAAATGAGAAAAAAGCTTCTGAATCTGGTAGTTCTGAGAAGTTGCCATCAAATCTACATACGGTATCAGCCAAATCAGAGTCCAATTCGGACCCACTTGCTCTTCAGTAGAGGAGAGCGGACACCTGAATGTTCGGGTCCGGCGGGTTTGGCCGAACTTTGAAAAATAGTCTGGGTTTGGGCTTGAACTTGACCTCGAACCCGAACCCCATTGAAGTCAATGGGGACCCAAACTTTTGGCCACAAAAATGCCTCTAAAAAACTCCTGGAAAGGGCTAAAGAGCTGCAAAAGGAATTAAAATGGGGGTAAGAGTAGGACAGGTGCCCTGCAAACAAATGTGGATAGGGAAATCACTTAAAATAACAAAAATTTAAAATACAGGTGAGCCATAAAATAGCACTAGATCTTTGAATTTAGCTTTGGAAGAACATAAATCAAAATCTAAAGCATGGCTGTCAGGAGGATCAACAGAATTATCCATTTGAGAGAGGGTTGGAATGCAGGGAATTCTCTTTCATTGTTCAAACTGAGATCAACTCCTGATGCATGGAGAAAAGGCCTTCACAAGCCTCTGCTATTGTGTACATAGTTTATACTAAGTGATCCATAGGTTGAGGAGGCGGTGACCGTGGCGGTGGAGGAGGAGGATGAGCTAGCAAACACTGTTTTTATATATATATATATATATATATATATATATTAATTGGGGTGGCCCCCAAAATATTGGGACATATAAAAAAAGACAACTCTGTTCCGCAGAGTAGCTGTTGACATTATAGTTGCGCAGGAACTTTGTTGACTCTAGAGAACCTCAGGCAAATTGCACATCCCCGTGGTGGCGACTTTGCATACGAATGTCATCCATATCAACTTTCGATGCCAGTTTCTGCACATACCATGGTGACCATGGGGAATCAGGGTTCCATTCCGTACAGGGACCCTGAGAAACGGCTACCACATTCAAGGAAGGCAGCAGGCGCGCAAATGACCCACTCCTGACGCGGGAAGGTAGTGACGACAAATAACAATACAGGACTCTTTAGAGGCCCTGTAATTGTAATGAGTCCACTTGAAATCCTTTAACCCTAATCAATTGGAGGGAAGTCTGGTACAGAGCCACTGACTCGTGCGTGCTGCAGCTGAAACTCCACTATCGCCTGCTGCTGCTCGCAAAGTCTCATGAGTCGGTGAGCGGGAAGGCCAAAGTTACGCTGCAGCGCAGCCAGGCGAGCAGCAGCAGGGTGACAACGCCAAAAGCGCGCACAGCCGCTACAGTGAATGTCACATCCTAACAGTGTCTGGGTCTTGGTCACCGGACTGCCCACCTCACTGTGAAACTACGATGGATCGTTAAATCTGGTTCGCTCAAGTCTATTATGGATCCTTTGATCGCTACATGTATTACTTGGATAACTGGTAATTCTCGAGCTAATAGATGCCGACGAGCGCTAGGGGACGGCCGCTCCGCTTTTGCACCCTGCTCCCTCTCATGCTGTGCTGGTGCCTCTGTGCGACCAGCGTCTCTTCCTCCAAACTGCACACATCACTCGCATGACCTTGATTCCATGTGGGGTCTAGGACCTCATCATCCTCCACATCATCTTCCACCCACTCCTCAACCCTGCCCTCCTTGCCGGTATGCACAATGCAGAAAGCCACAGCAGTTGGCACCTGTGTTTTTCCAGCATGTAATGTCTGCAAAGTGCATATGGAAATTGTTTTAGAATTTCCTCCAGGCAACAGTTTTCCCTATAAACTGACCTCTTAGTTTGACTTGTGAGGGTATTGCCCCAGAATTACAATATTGTTGAAGTACTTCTTAGCTATTGATCACTGGTTTAAATGTAGCAGCTTATCTGGTAGTTTCTAGTGTAGAAAATATCAATCTGTTTTCTATCACTTAGATCTGTGTAACAAGTGTTGTAGGTGTGAAACAATAGGTGTGAAACAATATAAATTCGAATCAGTTACGCTTCGATTTGACTCTCAGATATGAAGTGAACACCCCAAATATACTATCTAGCGCCAAAAGAAATAAAAATTTTTACTTTTTAAACTCCAATGTAAGCAGCAGATTAGCAGCAAAATAATTAGAATGTTTACAAGTGCACAGAAAGCACACTAGTAGACGTTTTGATTTGACTCTCAGGTATAAAGAACAGGCCCCAAAATTTACTATTTAGCAGTTTAGCAGCAAAATAATTAGAATGTTTACAATTGCGCTGTAACCGCAGTATTAGCGCTTCTATTTGACTCTCAGATATGAAGAACAGGCCCCAAAATGTACTATTTAGCAGATTAGCACCCAGAAGCGCACTATTTGACGCTTCTATTTGACTCGCAGATATGAAGTGCACCGCATGCCCCAAAATGTACTATTTAGCAGATTAGCAGCAAAACAATTAGAATGTTTACAAGTGCGCAGTAAGCACACTATTTGACGCTTCAAATTTACTCTCAGATATGAAGAACAGGCCCCAAAATGTACTATTTAGCAGATTAGCACCCTGAAAATAAGAATGTTTACCACTGCTCAGTAAGCGCACTAATTGACGATTCTATTTGACTCTCAGATATGAATTGCACCCCACTAATGTACTATCCCACTAATGTACTATTTAGCACCAAAAAACTCCGATGTAACCACGGTATTTGAAGCTATTTGACTCTCAGATATGAAGTGCACCCCACCCCACTAATGTACTAGTTTGCAGAATTCTTTCCTAAGCTGTCCCTATCAGTGGCAGCATCCTCTCCCTACACTAATAAGATTGCATGTGCGTGCGGCGCTACATGACTCCAGCTTATATATAGAGGCTGGGTCACATATTGCACTGGCCAATCACAGCCATGCCATTAGTTGGCATGGCTGTGATGGCTTCTAAGGGCACATGAGTCAAACGCTTGTTGATTGGCTGCCCTGCAGCCTTTCAAAACATGCCATTAAATCGCCGAACACTGAACCCCAACCCGAACATAGTGATATGTCCGTGTTTGGGTCCGGGGTCCAAAAAACCTAATGTTCGCTACGAATCCGAACTTTTCAGTTTGGGTTCGCTCACTCTATTCTTCAGCAACCTTCCGAAGTGAAGAGGAGCCCTGAAAATGACTCATAATTCCATAACATTGGATGGAAATATGGTTCCTTTACTTATCCGGAGACCTTGTGTAACATGGTCCAGACAATGTGTAATCAATCCTTGAAAACTGGAATCTGAGCTTATGAAGTTCTGTTCATACGAAACCCAGAGACATATTCTCTCTTTCAGGTACCAGGTAAGGTGTAACTCCACTGATGGTGACATCGTCAGTGGCTGCCTCCAATTAATCTTTCTCTTGTTGAGAATAGGAAGGACATTTAAGGAATCCTGAGATGCCACTGAGCCCATCTGAAAAGTCTGATGGTGGAAGTCAGGATTCCTAGTAGTTGCATCTACTTTCTTGCTGTTACCAAATGAAAATGAAGAAATTGGAAGAGAAAACTTCGACCATCTGTGTAACTGTTTCTGAGAAAGGGGAAAGCAGATTATAGAATACTCCACCAAGAAAAGTAATCCTCGGAGCTGGTGTGAGACTGCTCTTGTTGGTATTCATCAAGTAACCAAATTTCACCTGGCAACCCGACTGGGCACCTTCCCAGCTGACGCCGTGGACCATAATCCATTGGACACCACAACCACCGTAGACTCCACAACCATAGCTTAACTGGAGTCTCGCCGTCTTCCTTCCACCCTGGATCAACATCTGTCCTCCAGGAAAGACCTCCCCTCCAGAGAACGTATCAGGAACAGCTCTTAAAAGAGCTAAATGAATAGAGCTCAGGGGAGTATACAAAGTATAGCAATCCCCAGTGTGAATATAGCAGTTCCTTACAATAACGAGACAAGGCTACTGTCAGGGTTTCTTTGCTGTTTCAAACAGCAACCCTTCTTTTTTCTGTGTCTGAGTTTTCAGCTGATATTGTTCAGTAATGTTGCCATGGTTACTCACCTGATAGTAGTAACCAGCCCTGCTGCTAATCAGTGCAGCCTATTTAAGCAGCAAATCCCAGTAGCTCCTTGCCCATGCGTGGTTTCCTGTTCCCCAGAAGTCTCCTTGTTCCTGTGTGTTCCTGGTTCCGGACTCTAGCCTTGTTCCTGACTTCGCTGCTCTCCGTTCTCCTGATCCTGGCTCGTCTGACTACCCGCTTTGATACCTGACCCCTAATTGCCTCCTGGACTTTGCTTTTGGTTATGACTTACACTTGCAAGAAAAAGTATGTGAACCCTTTGGAATGATATGGATTTCTGCACAAATTGGTCATAAAATGTGATCTGATCATCATCTAAGTCACAACAATAGACAATCACAGTCTGCTTAAACTAATAACACACAAAGAATGAAATGTTGCCATGTTTTTATTGAACACACCGTGTAAACATTCACAGTGCAGGTGGAAAAAGTATGTGAACCCTTTGATTTAATAACTGGTTGAACCTCCTTTGGCAGCAATAACTTCAACCAAATGTTTCCTGTAGTTGCAGATCAGACGTGCACAACGGTCAGGAGTAATTCTTGACCATTCCTCTTTACAGAACTGTTTCAGTTCAGCAATATTCTTAAGAATGTCTGGTGTGAATCGCTTTCTTGAGGTCATGCCACAGTATCTCAATCGGGTTGAGGTCAGTACTCTGACTGGGCCACTTCAGAAGGCGTATTTTCTTCTGTTTAAGCCATTCTGTTGTTAAGCCTTCAAAATAGGTACAAATTTCACGAACGGATCCGTTTGTGCATACAGTCATTGGATGCGCCTTGTTCGGAGTTTTGTTCTCAAGAAATAGCACTCCGTTCGTATGAATTTAGGTGGAAGTTTCAGCGGTGTTAGTGGCTATAGTAGCCGAAAATAGTTCCAGGTGTTCGACAAAAAACAGCTGAGCGCATTCGGCTAAACAAAATGGCCGCTGCCACGTGTTCATTCATACAAACGGCGACCACCCAGCTGTTCGTCAATTAAGCTGCGATTAACCACAGCTTCTGCGATGTTAACAAGCAGCACAATCCACTTGCGGGTGGTCTGGCTGTTCATCAGTTTGTTCAGTAAACGAACACCATTAGTACAATCCATTGGGCAAGCCCCATTCACTGAACCATTGCAGGAAAAACGCCCGAACAACAGTTTTTCTCCAGTCCTGAACAGGAGTCTAATGCATGGGTCATAGTCACAAGTCCTCTCCGAGAACAAGTGGCAAAGGGCAATTCGTCAATCTGTGCGCCTGCCTTCTGTGAGTCTGAGGCTACCAGTAGTCAGGGCCAGATTAAGAGCCCAGTGGGCCTGGTGCTGACAATTATGATGGGGCCTACTTACAGAATCTTATCGACCAAAAACACTAAAACAGTCATACCTCTCAAGCGTCATGTATCTGATGGAGTTGGTGTTGGAGGGAAACTCAAAGGATACAGCTATAAGAAAACACATACTCTATGCTAATCTCTTTATCTAATTTATGCTTTCATCTTTCAAGTAAATCCATACCCCCTAACAGCAGTGTCCAGTGAAGCAGGAAGTCAATGGGCGGGGTAAAAGGGTGTGTCACTGGCGCAAATCACGTGACCAGACAAAAAGGGGGCATGTCAGACCAAAGAATTGGAAGGCCAGCCTAGCATCAGTGTCCCTATGTATCATAGTGTCAGTGTCCCCATGTTGCCCAGTCCTCTAGTCTCCCAGTGTCTGTGTCCCTATTTCTCCCAGTGTCCCCATGTCTCAGTGTGTGTCCTGTGTCACTAGGATACTAGGGTACACTGAGAGACATGGGGACACAGTGATACATGGGGACACAGAGATCCAGGGACACTAAGACACTTGGAGACACTGGGAGACATAGGGGCACTGAGGCACTTGGGGACACAGACATGGGGGCACTGGGAGACATGGGGTCACAGACACTAAGGACACAGAGACATGAGGACACAGACATTTGGGGAAACTAAGACACTAGGGACACTGAGAGACATGGGAACACAGACACTGGGAGACTA